CTTTTGCTGTTGGTGATCCTGCTGGTTCACGTTGTTCTTCATGTTCTCTCTTCTCTCCATGTGCTTCAGGTTGGCGTGGTCTGCGAATTCCTGACGCTGATGCTGATGCTGCGCCTGGTGTCGGTGGTGCTGCGGCGGGTTCGTACCACAGTTCTGTCACAATGTCCATCTTGTGGGGTAATGCTGCATTGAGTATCTCTGACTAAAGCTTCACCACTTGGGCTGGCAATGATTGGTTCCCTTGGGGCTGCAATCGCTGGTTCTTCGCGAATTGCTTGAGGATGCCAGTGATCGACTTCAGCAACGCAGAGTCATATCGATCTTCTTCGGGCTTTCTTCGGATTGACTGCACTGTGTAAACTCCAGTGGCCCTACTATCTTCTCTGTGGTGTTGTCTTTCACTCCTAGAAAAATGCCTTTGGTCCACTGAGCCTCGAACTTGTGACCTCTCTTGAAGTATTCGATGGCTTCACCAAAGGGTGGAATGGCTACTTTCCATTCACGTCCACGAAGTCTTGAAGTATGGCGTCTTTCCGTCCTGAAGTTCGGTCGATCGGAAAAACAAGTTGTAGACCGTGGATGCATGTTCGATCAACCATGTCAAAATAGGTGAATCGTCATGAAGCTTCTCACCATAGTTCGACTCGATTGCGGCTCGAAGAGTCCTTGCTTGGCCTTCCAGGGTTTGAACTGCTCGTTCAATTTCTCCCTTGGATTCTTTGACTCCTTTCGGGCTCTTCTCGATGATCAAGGTTCCTTCAAACCCGTTCTTTACTGCCTCAACGACGGAGGGTTGGAATACCCTAGTTTCTTAATGCCATTCAGGAGCACCTTGGATCCATATGGTCCTTTTGTCACACCTTTGTAGGGTAACGCTAGGATTGGGGCATGTGTCTTTTCATCCATGACTACGTCACCAGTCCGTGAATTCATGAAACAGTAATCTACAGTCAATATTGGTGTGGTTTCATCTGAATGATCCACCCTCTTGTGGGGATTGGCTTTGGCCTTACCTCTAATACAGGCCTCACACCACGAACGAAAAAGAAAATGTGAAACTGCGTGTTCCTCGAGCTCTTTTCGCTGCTGGGGCCTCTTCGTCCATGACCGGACTTACCCCCATCGGCGGGTGAAATGGTGGAACACGATCGGCACGGAGCAGACTCCGTTGCAAAAGGAAATTGGGATCTTCTTCCCATCTCGAGCTATGTGTCCTCCCCGAAAGCTGCACTGTCCCGTCAGGGCTCCATTGCCGATGCCAATCGTCACCTTGGCGTTGATCTTGCCGAGACCTTCACCGTCTCGCCTGACGCTGTCTTGTATATCTTTGAGCGCACGCCGTCAGGCTGAACAGGCTTGTAGCCTAATGCTGCGGCGAGGTCGACTGGGACGCAGGACGTGGCTGCTCCTGAATCCAAAGTCACCTGGTGAGCCATGGGCGTCTCAATGGATGCCAAGGGATCGCCATCACCCTCACTTGGCTCACTTGAAGGTGTTGGGTATTTCCTGTCTGGGTCTCACGAGCGGCGTCTTTCGTTGCCACGTTGACTGCTTCTTCTGCTTGCCCTTCTCTTGGCCTTTGTGGCCTTTCTCGGAGGCAGCCGGAACCGAAGCGGCTCGGCTCTTGCTCGAAGAGCGAGACCGGGACTTCAATCGAAGCAACTGCCTTGGTGCCTCACTTGATTCCTCCTGCTTGGCTCCTGGCCCACGGAATCGTTCCATGCGCTCATCCGTCGAGCTCTTGAACCAGGCCATGCGATCCTCGTTGGTCTTGCCTAACTTCTCAGGAGGTGGAGGTGTCTTGGCAATGCGCCTTTGCTTTGGCGTCTTTGGACCCATATCGTCCTCTTCTTCTTGCTCATCCATCATCTTCTGCGTGTGGGCCGTCATGTAGAAAGGAGGCTCTTTCTTGACGCTCTCCCACTTTGGCTCCTTCATTTTCAAATGCTCTGTCAGGCTTCAGGGCCATTTCTGCATCTTTCACATGCTTTGGCGCATCTCGCGAGGTTGGGCTGCCTCGCTGTCCCTTTGCGGTCTTGATGCGCTTTTGCTTGATGGACCATTCCTTAGCCCATCGCGCGATTTCGTAGTAATCCAATTCTTCTGGATACTTGGACTCGTAGTCGCGCCAGGATTCAAAACGATCCTGGGCCGTAGCAACTCGATGCTGCTCGGCGCGTACACGACTCTTCTCCTTCTTCTTGGCCAGTCTTGGCGACTCCGCCGGCACCGAAGCGGCGCGGCTGGAGGTTGGCCTCTTCAGCAAAATCTTGGCCTCATTCTCTTTCTCTGCATACTGCTCTCGCAGCTGCTTCATCTCGTTCTGTCGCTCCAAGATGGCTTCATTGGCAGCTTTGCCTTGAGCCTCGGCCTCTTCGATGGCCTTTTGGATTGACTCGGACTTCTTCTCATACAGTTCACGGTTGGACTGCATGGCCTCTTGGATTGCTTGGTTCATGACTGCAATCCCAACACCTGCAATTCCAGGGCGACCTTTTTCCAGTTCCTGGCTTCTTTCGCGTTGCCTTGACTTCAGTCTGGGCTTTTGCCTCGGCTGCTCCACGAGAGATTGCGGCAGACACTGCTTTCTCCATCTCGATGGCAAAGAGAGTGGCGATGTCAGCGGAATACTCAGGCTCGGGTTGATGCTCTTGAGCCATAGAGGTTTCAGATTCCTCAACTGACGCTACCTTCTTACTCTTACTCTGGCCCTTACCTTTAGAGTCCTTACCTTTGCCACCTTTGCCTTTACCCTTGGGATTTTTGTTGTACCAACTACTCTTGTTCCAATCGTTCTTGTACCAATCATTCTTATTCCATGATGAGGGATTGACCCCATTTTCCCTTCTGTTTGCCTTTGTCGTTTCCCTTGCCTCCATCTTGACTCTTTCCTTTTCCTTGGCCGCCTTTTGCCACCTGTGCCTTTTCCTTTGGCTTCGGCCAGACTCGCAAGTGAAGCTTGCATCTGGCTGGCAGCAGCGGCCAATGCATCAACATCCATTGGTGCTGATCCTGTCTTGGCTTCTCTTCGACTCTCGATGTTCTCAAGATAGGCCAAAATCTCTGACTTCATGATGTCATAGTCAGTGAGTCTTGAACTTTGGAGGTCGGGGTGATCACACATCTGCTGGAGACAACTTCTCGCGATGTCGTCGTCAAGAGCTTTCTTCTTTCGCTCTTCGTATTTTCGCCTGATGTTCTCCCAGGCTTCTATGCTCTCGCGGAGCTTGTCCAATGCACACTGCTGCGGGTGCAGGACTTTCTCTTCAGCAAAGCTGAGTTTGCCTGTGGGTTCTGTAGATCATACTTCGTGATCAGTCGCCGCAATGCCTCTAGGCCAAAGTGCTGACCTCTGGAGGTATTCTTGACGATCTCGAGGGCTTCTCCCTCGCACAGTGAGATCAGAGCCTGTCGGGCCTGAGCTGAAACAAGCTCGCTCCTTCGGTCCTTCAGGGTAATCGTCTTCCAGAGATGTCTCGTTGATCTCTGTGTCTTGGTGCTCTTCGAGGAGCTGAATGCACTTTCCTGCATTCTTGTGACTTGTCTCAATCCAAGTCTTGAACTTGAAGTACCATGAGTCCCAGTTACCTGTGTGTCCATTGAACTTGTCAGGCTTTGGAGTGCCTTTCTTCAACTCTGATCTGTCTCGTACTTCTACGCTGGTTGCTATGTTCCTTGTGATTGCCGTTTGTTGGGTGTATGCTTCTGCCATTGCTCGTTGCAGTTGATTCTGCCCTTGTGCTAGTGCTTGCATCATCTGTGCAAGTTGCTGTGCCATGTCTGTAGCTTGTTGTGTCTGTGCTCCTGGCTGTTGTGCCATGTTGACTTGCTAGCCAGGGATTGAGCAACCCGGCTTTCCTGCAAGTGATGTTTGTATTCACGGATCTCCGGTGCCAAAGCCGATGCAGTTCGTTAGGCACACTTTTAGCTCACGCTTGAGGCGATCAAGTAGATCCAAATGAGCACAAACGGCTGCAGTGAAACATACATCTATACACAACTATGGCATGTACATGTAACTGGTGCTACATCTGATCAAAAATCAATGTTGCCCCGAGTGTCAAAAATATGTTTATCTATTCAGCCGTCGTTATAACAAAAAGGCTAGACAAGGCAAGCTGCGATTGAGAGGACCACAAGCCAGCGGGAAAGCATGTAGCAGTACCTCGAAACACTTGAGGAACTGCCCAGTTGATCGCTTTGGACATGGTACACCTTCGAAGGCGTTGGAACTCTCGAGCCAAATGCACTGCACATCATAAATCACCCAGGCTGCCAGGCACAACCAAAGGGAACAAACCTACAACTTTTCTATCCAAATCATGTCCCGCCAACGTGCTGGTGCCGTTGGTCGCACTAACTTGAGCGGCCATGAAGACAAAACAGCAGGGACTGGTGGAAGGGTGAGTCAGGCTCTCACATGAAAGACCACCTGACCGACGAGGCGAAAGCGAATTCCACAAGGCCAATACCTGAAATTGATCATTTTCAAGAATTTGCACGCAGTGCATGTGCTTGTAGAGTTGCATGTGTAGTTGCGTTTGAGGTCTCTCCAATAGTCGCACACGCAAGTGAAATGCATCGATTCTCACAATAGACCCCAGCATCAAGACTGCACGTTCAAAATGTGCAGGCACCAACTGCTTTGCCCCTCAGGGCTGCTCAAAAATCTGCAGAATCCAAACTAAAGCTTGCTCGAAACTTCGTAAAACAGAAGTGCCAGAGTGTGGAACACTGGAATGGCCGATCTGAATAATCTGGGCACATATATTATATACCTAAACAGCTTAATGAAAGGTCCAAAATACACCTTCCAAATTTGGCAAATACAAAAGTTGAAGGACCAGCTGGTCTGCCGGCGTTGCCGGTTCTAATCCGAATGAGGTCCGTCATTGCTTCACTTTCTCAGTTTGAGGGTTTGATGAAACGTTCAATGCCAAAAAGAAACTCTATGTCTGGTCGCATGCCCCTTTGACCAGATCAGGCTGCAGCCAGGAATCCAAGACCGAGAACACCAACTAGAACCATCTCTTCCAGTTGCACCATGACTTCGAGCTCCTGTCTTGCCAGTGGGCACTTCTCTTTATCAGCACCATGCACCATGCATTATCTGCTTTATTCCTATATGTAACTAACCACCACACGTCCTCGAGTTTGTTCAATTGGATGATTGATGGGCCACCTGCACGTCAGTCAGGTGGGTGAAACACAGCAAGCGCCTTCAAGCCAAACGTTGAAACGAACTCTGCCTGAGAGCTCCGCTAACCCAAGAGCTTCTGCTGCCTTCTCTTCCAACTCACCAAGGCCAACAGCTCCCTCCAGCCGGCCGACCTCAACACCTGTAACAAATCTGGCCAGTGAAGGCAAATCTGACGGAATGCTTGTCATAGAAAGAGTATCGACCTTCGAGCAATAGAAACATGAGGGTGTCTAATGGTGTCTGGTGAAAATGTTGCTTCATCTCATCTTGAGCCACATCATAGCTATGAGTCAAAATAGACTTTCGCCTGACACACTCGGCCAAATAGCGCCTTCATTGAAGAAAATAATTGTCGGCAAACCCTCGACTCCCATCTCGCTTGCCTTGCATTATATATACTGCATATATACATGGCAATGGGAAACGGCGGCCAACTTGCAAGTGGACTCAGCAAGCGGTCTCTCAACAAATCCTGCCTTCGCAGAGTGCCTGTCGCTATCCATGCGAAGCACCTGAGGGCTTGGACTGCCCTCTTTTTCGACATCGCTCTCCAGTTTGTCAGCCAGAATGTTCAGAGCTGGCTCCAGCAACTTGCACGGTCCACACCTCCAACAAAACAAATGAAACTCTGAAACCTGTTGGTCATGGCACTGCCCACAGGAATGGCATGGAATGACTATAGCAAAAGTTGAGCCAGGGGACCAAACTGCATAAACGTCTAGGACTACAGCGCCACCCCTCCGTATGCTGGACTCCAGTTCTGCTGGGCTGACTTCTGTAACGGACGCGCGTCTCTTCAGACTTTGCGACGCATACTGGGAGCGGGTGCCAGGATAGCCGACGAACAAGCCTAAGCTCAGAAAGGGCCACAAAAAATGCAGCGAACCATCTCCGAACCATTGTTCATGTTGAGGGTTCACAACCATGCAAGCAAATTCGCCTTGGGGAGGTTGAGCTCGCTCCACATGCAGCTGCTTGTGGCCCAATAAGTTGGACAGTGTGACAGCGGCAACAATAGATAAAGCACGCTGTAGCGCCCGGCATTGAAGCCCGAAGTCTGATCCCATTTCCAAAAAGGTCAAGCCAAGCCGGTCTAGTGTGATGCAATGTGCGTGTCTAGGTCTAGGTGATGCATGTCAGGGTAGTCCTGGGGTAGTTCGAGGGCTTGCAACTGTGAAGACATGCAGATCTAGAATCTAGAATATGTTTCTCTGCTTTCCCTACTAAAAGGTGCCAACATGTGCTAACCAAAGGGATTTTGCCCACGGCCAGTTTGAGCCTTCTTGTCCAGCTGTGTAAACCTGTGTCTGCATCATGCCACGACCCTCGAGTTTTCTAGGGATTCCTCATCAGCCTATTTGAGAGATCACTCTGCACCACTCAACAGTAGCCTGCAGCAATGAAAGCCAACCCGATTCAGTAAACCACCCACCGGGTGGTGCAAATAGAAGGCCTTCACCCCTTGTCCTCTCACCAGCCATCACTTCCATTGGGGAGAGCCACTTCGAAGACCTGATGTCCAAAACGGCCTCCTGTTAAGCAACTCCAAGACAAATAATCCCCAAGTAACTGCCTGTTTGGTGTGTGATTGCCTTATGTACCTACCAGACCAGTGCTTGCAAGGCCTCAATTCCCACGAGTGCTTTTTTGCAGAGGTGTGATAGCAGGAGCAATTTTGAAAACCTGATTTCAGCATCGAAAAACCCTCATTGTTCACATTCTCTGCATTCTTCGCGGTCGGACAGTTGCACCAGAGACTGTTTTCGACAGTTCTCTCACAAGCAAGTGTTGGCTTCCGTACATGCCATAAACGTAACATGCCTAACCTCGACAACCTAATCCATTTGTCAGCCATGCCACCTAAACAACTACGAAAATAAAGGATGAAGCGGAGGAGGAGGAGGAAGAAGAAGAGGAGGAGGGGGTAATGGCACCCAAAACAATCCCCACCCACTCCCTCACCCCTTTGACAACGCATTGTGGATGACAATGTAGTGAATCAAGGAGTCAAAGTGAGGTGACCGTGATGACAAGTGCATTAATGCTGAAAGGGGCGCAAAATGATGAGAAGTGAACGAAAAGTAAGAAAAACTGTCGACGCATTGTGGTCCAACTGCTCCGACAGTGTATAACAACTCTGACCTGCTTGGGTTTAGACCAGACCAGCCAGAAAGTTACCCCAAGGCTCGAGCACAACACCCCAAACACGCTGCCTCTCGATGGTGCCTGTGGAAATAGATTCCTGAAAAGACATGCTCAAAAATCTATGGCTGGGACTACGATGGCCCAAAAAAGGGGCTGGTGAGCTCAAAGGGGGCGCCATCTCTAAAAATTGTGAGTCCAAGGCAGTAAAGTGCAAAACGTACTTTTGACTCCGTGCATTCGGGCCGATATCGTTCAGACGCAGTTGCACTTTGTGCCTCCTTTGCTTTGCCTCAGTCTCAGTTCTCTGCACGCACTCAAACGTAGGCATGTCTTTCTCTACAATTGTCTGGAGGAATGAGGGCGCTGCTAGTTGTCTTGCTTTGCAACGGCAGTGATTCTATGCCGTTCCATTCCTTAGAAGGAGCAATGTCAGCACTCAGGCTAGCTACAGGGATCTCAAACAAGGTCCGCCTTCTCAACTGCATAGTCAAAGACTTGGTCGCGTTGGCATCGCCTGTGGGAGAGGCCGGAATGACGGCGCAGCATCTAAATACGCACGCAAGCCGCAGTCGGGTAAAATCTTGCAACATAAAAGCTCACGAACGCAAGCCCTGGCCCAAAAGAACTTTCAATGTTGCGTTTTTGTCTGACCTCAGGCAATGTTTGACAAACTGGACGTGTGCATGTACAAAACATCAACATCTATGAAACCGTCTAAGGCCACTGAGCAGCAAAGCTAAATCCCAGACATCGGCCTGAACAACCGTGCTTGTGCAGTCAAACTTTGTTCCAATACCTTGTGGTGCTACCAAAGGGCTACATCTCCCAATTCTTTGATTTTCTTCATTGCTTGCGCATACTGCTTGACAAACTCCTGGCCATGAACGTGGTCCCCAAACAAAACGTTGAAGAAGGCTGCCCCTGACTCAGCAGTGGTCCTTTTCAGCTTCAATGGATTTCACCCTCAACACCACATGCGGCACAACGAAAGTTCGCACGAACGCTACGACACGAGCTCAGTTAATTAGGTCACGGCAATCCACCCCTGGTTGATTCCGCGTAGTTTTGCAAAGCATCCACGCATACTCCTTGGTTCTGCAGTCATGCATCTGGCACATTACTGTATATTGTATACATATAGTTCCTTTGTGTTGAAAAACTTGTCACTCATTCAGCTCAGGTTCGAATGATGTTCACTGTTACCTTGGCTTCTTCAAAGGGGAAAACATGCTTAATAATGTGCCTGTGATGTACATGGGCCACTTGCGTTCGTTGCAAGGTTTCAACGCCGACTTCTTTAGCAAGCCGAAGATCTCCCTCGCCTTTGTCAAGCGCCTGCTCCTGTCACAACAGTGTTTGGGCATTGAAATTGTGGAGGGTTTCCGGCTGGGTACTGACATGTCTTAAGCACCAACGGCATTATTGGTGTTTGGATCTTTGCGCGCATCCCACAGGCCTGGCAAGCTGTTTCAATGGAGACGGCGGGGGGGGGCATTCCCTTTTGGATTCCTTGCAGCCACGTGCATTCTGCAAAAAGACAGCCAGGTACGCCCATCAGATTCCGCAACAAGTTCAGCCTTCCCAACGTGTGTCTTTGCACAACACGTTGTTGTTCTTCTTCTTGTCCTTCATGCGGCCTCAAGCTCCTCAATATCAAATGTATGAAAACGATACATTTCCCACAAACCCGCTGTAACTCAAAATATGCGGTTGAGGGACTGAACCAACAAAAGGTCGCAGCACCAAATAATAGCCACCATGCGCATGGCAAACTGCTGGCTGTGGTGGGGCATTTGGACAACAACACATGCACAAAACATGTTGCATGTTTGCTCGGCAACGCTGTCTTTTCCAAGATGTGCTCAACATTCCCGAGAGCCAAGTGGAAACATGGAAGGCCTGATGCTCCATAGCGGCATGACAAAAACATTGCAGCAGCAGAATTGTTGGTCAACCATTGGCAAACCATCCACTTTCACACAACAGCACGTTCACACAATGACATGCGTGAAATGACAAGCATGGGTGCTTGTTTTCATAACCATCCTTGCTGTACATAACCCCCGCATACCCCCGCCCTCTCCACTTAAGACCTGCACCCTGGAAAATCAACAACGCCTTCGGCCAGCCTTCTTGTCTCCGGCTTAGGCTTAAAGCCAATTTTCTCAGTGGCCCTTGCTTCGTGAGGCTGGAGGGCGGACGGAAGTCCGGTCCCACTTGGATGCCTTGTCCCCTTGCCTTGGGTACGCACGACTCTGTTTTCTGGATGGTGCGTGGTTTGCTTGTGGACTCTCCTCGCACTACGGACCTCAGCGGGGGTCCATGGACGCTCCTAGTAGAAAAGGCCAGGAGCCCCTAGTAGCGATGCCCTTTGTCCCTAATAGCCATAGCGTCCTTTGTAGTTTGCCCTGGCGGTTTTGGCCTCGCAAGTTCACCTGGGAACAGCGCCCCTCCTCAGCGGCCGCAAAGCCAACAACGCGTCTTCCCAGTGCCCGGCTGCCCTTGCTCCGTCACTCACCACGCTCGGAGATGGGCCAGCTGGACCATTGCGCTCGATGTTCGATGGTCTGGCTGTGTTTGCGTGATCTTGAAGCAGGTCGAATTAGCCAAAGCTCCGTGCTGCCCGGAGGGCTTTCTGAGTTCTTCGTGAGGCACCGCGCTTCATGGAGGACAAGGAGGAACCAGGGGGGGGGTGTGGGTGTATGGGAGAATGTGGTGGTTGTTATGGTTGTCGTTGTTGCTGCTGCTGCTGTTGTTGTTGTTGCTGCCGCCGCGAAAATTTTAAGCAAGGCAACAAGTCAACTCAACAAACATAATGTTATTGTGCGAAGTATGCTAACTTGCATCAGCATTGACCACACGGATTTTTTCTGCCTTCGCCAAGGGCCTAAAGGCTATTTTTCATCTTTCTCATGTTCGCAGTCATTGAGCATTGGTAGACCTGGTTTGGATTTTCCTCCCATTCGTCAACGTTGGTTTGGTGGTTCTTCCAGGGGTGATGACTTGTAAGAATGGTGTTCTTTTTAATAGGGGCTGTCATCAACAGTCAGTTGTCGTTTGAATCATCGAGGTTCGGCAAGAAGTCCATGTTGCAGCTCATGTTCATCTGGACTTTGATCTTGGAGTTTCTCCTCTTCTTCATTTCATTGAACATCCTCGATTCTGCGCCATCTGAGAAACCGAGGCAGTAGGTGAGTTTTTGAAAGAAACTCTGATGAGGGTTTGCCCCGTGCTAAAGTTGCTAATGTGTCTTTTCCTGCTGGGCAATGCCAAAATGGGAGAATCTATTTGCATCCGCAGATTCTGCGCAATCACCCCACTGCTACCTCTAGCGTCCGGGGTGCCATTGAAGATTGTTTTCTATTCCCTCCTGACAACTATCAGCCGCAAGCACCTTGAGGGCAGTCTCCCTCTTTGGCCGTTTGGTTCGCAGCATTTGGTGATGACTTGCTCGAACTGGTTCCAAAAGTACATTCAGAATCCCAATGCCGGATTGCCCAAGCGGCGTCCGCCTGCGCCTTTTCCCCTGTGAAGTTGCGAGGGGTCTCCGCGTCTTGTTCCTTCCTTTTCCTTGACCCTTTGCCTTCGGTCACCCTTGTTTTTGTTTGTGCATTGTTCAAGGGCACATCAAACTCCCAAATGTCACTTCAGTAGCCCTTCGAGTTGGGCTAACATCAAAGCAGCGCACCTGGTTCTTAATGCGTCACTGGAACAATTTTTTCTCACTGGGCTAAATGTTTTAGCCTCATTATGTTCCTCTTCGCGTTGGCGTCAGGGAAAGAATCCTCGCCCCGCCACTGCAGGTGACATAGGAGTTCTGCCGCAAAAGAGACGGAAAATGCCCAGGAGGTGTGGAGCCTCCAGACCCGGAAAAAGAAACTGCGGAGACTGTGGCCACATGACCCAAGGTAAAGACCAAAGTTTGCCGAGGTAAACCAAATGGTTGCGATGCGATGGGAC